GTGCACTGAACAGCTCTCTCCTCCACATCACGAGTAGACACGCCCCTTATTGCTGATTGGCTACAAGTTTGTTTTTGAAAAATCGCTTACCCCACCTTTAATCGAGCTGTTAACATCACAGTACTTTGTGTTCAAAGAATCTAGTTCCAGACGGATGATTAAATGGCTGTTATTTCCCCGTGTGAGATTCGTTTCTCTGTGTTTGTGTGTAATGCAGGCATGTGATCGACGCTGAAGCTCCAGCTCACCTGGGAATGAGGGCTTTGGCCTCCTCTGCAGCCTCGGGACACAGATTGGCTAAACTTGCCAACTCAAACTTATGAAGCTTCTTCTGCAGAAGTAAGCTGGAAACACGGCCACGTTATCATTCATATGAATATCATATTTACTAAATGACACTTAAATTAACAAGTACAAGAAAAAAAAGACTACACTACATCTACAGTCACAATAAGATGCTTAGAAGAGCATGCTGAGATGTTTAAACTAGAGCTGCAAGATATATTGAAATTAACTCAATATCGCGATAGAAATTGCGATTTAAAAAATATGAAAAAAATAAAACGTAAATAATAGTATCGTAACTTAACAGCAAACTAAAATTATTTTTATTACTCAATTTTTTGTATTCATTTTACAGCATTATTACAATACATTTCTTATTGTGTTTAATATTTTTATTTCATAATAATCACAAAAAATATTTTATAGTCATATTGAATTGGTCAAAAACAGTGGGATTTTGGCCTACGAAAACGCAAGTGGAAAGAGATTTTAACCCTGAAATGGTTATTGAAATTTTGAAAATTGAAAGTTTTTGTAAAAAGTATGAACATCCAAGTTTTCAAGACTTTCCCAAAACCATTCAGCCCTAAATAGATTTCACACACACACTCACTCACCTACACACACACACACACACACACACACTCACACACTCTCTCTCACACAGACTCACACACAGACTCTCTCACACACTCTCTCTCACACACTCACACACAAACACAAATCTCTCTCTCTCTCTCTCTCTCTCTCTCTCTCAC